TCTCATTCAGCTGTTCCTGAGGCAACACAGTTGCTTCAGCTGGTCATTGTCAGCACTGAAAAGAAATAAGACGTACAGTTGGAGCAGGACTGTTCCTCCCTGGCAGTGATCTCCACTGAGGTGGACTTTTAAAGTTGAAACAAGACGAGGAGGACTTCTACAAAAGGAACGAACATTTTTGTCCAGAAGGATCAGCGCAGGGACTCCATTTATAAAAATATGACCACAATAACTTTGTTTTTTAATGTTTGTCACATGGGGTACAGTTAGTATGTGTAAAGAATGCTGATATGAGATATGAAACATAACCCATTAACTGCTGCCGATGAAATGGGAGAGAGGACTGGCTCAATTCAAGGCAGCAGCAGCTGCTGGTGGTGGTGGAAGAAAACTAAATGAATGTTAAAAAAACAACAAAAAAAAACTCATGTTACGAAATGCTACTGCCAACAAGTCTGAAGCAACACTGACAACTGTTTCATAAAATAAAAATAACATCAAATGGCCATAAGAGCAGCAGTTGCGTGGCAGGACAGTGGTAACTGCCTCAGACAACTGGAGTGGAAGCAGGAAGTTGCCCATACTAGCTGCCGGTGCCACGAATTGAGCCAGCCCTTGCTGTCAAATGATGAATAATCTATTCTGTTGGGTTCATATATTTCTAAATCTGATTCTGATGAAGGCAGTGCCTCACCAGCCCTGAACCTCACTGCACATCAGCTCTCCTTCAAGCTCGGGTCCTCTTACAGAGCCCTGGGAGTTTGAGGGTCCTGCGCAGTGTCTACGCTGTTCCTAGGACTGCACTCTTCTGGACAGAGATCTCAGATGTTGTTCCTGGGATCCGCTGGAGCCACTCGCCTAGCTGCGGGGTCACTGCACTGAGTGCTACAATTACCACTGGGACCACTGTTTTCTTGTCTCATCCTGGACTGTGGTACTGACACTCATTAGTCCCCGACCTCCTTCCTGTCGCTTGGCAGTCTCAGAGTGCTGGACTTGGGGTGAAACCCTCCATGCATGGTCAGGAGCTTCCTCATCTTGATGTCAGTGGCTTCTGTCTCCTCCTTTGGCCAGCTTATTATCCCAGCAGGGTACCTGATCACAGGCAGGGTGTAGCACAGATCTTGTTTTTACCGTTTAGCTGACTCCTCAGGACTTTCCTGACCCTCTGCAGGTATTTGGTGGTTACAGCTTTCCTAGCGACCTCTTCATGGTTCCAATTTGCCAGTGGGATCTCCAGGTACTTGTAGCTGTCCTCCATGTCTGCAATGTTGCCTTCTTATAGTTTGATTCCCTCAGGTCTGACTACCTTCCCTCTCTTTGTTATCATCCCACCTCACTTCTCCAGTCTGAATGACTGGAGACGCAACGACCTTATTCACTGTTCATGAATCCATGTCCTTCAGCCACATGCTGAGGAAAGCGAAGTTCTGACATATAAAAAGCTGAAGTGAAACAAAAACAATGAAAAGTGTCACTGCAACCACCGTTAGTGCTTTTATTACTCCATTCTCCCGTTTCCTGTAAACTTTGCTCCCTTCTCTATTCCACTTGTCAACATTCAGTAATTCCAATCCAGATTGTGTATGTGAACAGATACATGTGGGACCATAAAACCAGCTTAATACAGAGACAGACAACCATTCACAGCTATGGCCAGTTTAGAATCACCGAGTGGGTAACTCTGTGCCTGGAGAGAACCCACACACAAAGGCCCCAGCTGGCTCGATCAATTCACCAGATGCAAAATATTATAAAGCCTCAGTGACGTGAAAAACTGAACTTTGTAGTTTTTAAATACAACTGTACAGGCGTTTATTTTTACCCTATAATTGATTTAAAATACACATAATGATGCATTTAATAGTCTTTGCTAATGAAAAATCCTGTTCCTGGGTTTATGGCTCATTGATGCAGCACTATGTGGCATCACACTATGGCCTTTATTTCCCTGCACAAACTTGATCTAGCAAGGTGGCTGGGACAGGTCCAGCAGCTCTTCCAACCCCTCTACAGTCCAACCACAAAGTGATGGAAGCACATTTCTCAATGTGTAAGATATAAAATGTATGACACAGTATTGTAAAAGAAAAAAATTCTTATCCAGAGGAAAGAAAACTTAATCTTTGTTCACAATATTTACCACTGAATTTTCTGACAATTTTCCATATAACCCTTTATCAATAATTCTCTTTAGCTAATGCATGACTAGTACCAAGCTTTGTCTTCTGATGCTTTATCTCTTCTATAAATTCCAATAATTAGCTCCAAACAATAGGTTTCTCTAGGAACCCACCCTGCAAAATGACTACAATTTCCTAGCTGATGTTTCTAAATTGACTGTCCTTCCACATAGCGCTATGTTGCTCTCAACAAAAATGAAACCCTGCACAAATAGTAGCTACAATAGCAGGGATCCTAAAGCCGAAACGTCAAGTGTTTTAGCAGCAACATACGTGGATCCATGAAACTGCACTGCTGAGGTCAGTCATACACACAGAGCACGGAGTGCGGGTTAGTGATAAGAAGTTAGTGGGGGGGAAAACAAAAAACACTTTAACTGTTCAAACATTAAGCGCAGAAATATGCAGCATGTTTTGCAGAGCATAGTTTAATCGCTATGACCCAAATACCCCACACACTCGTGAGACTGCGATTAGCCTTCCCCCCACTCAAGATTTTCAGGGCACCCGTAGCTAGCACCGTCTCCGAGGCTTAGCACTGAAAAGGTTGCACAATCAATACTGAAGCCCAGAATCAACTGTCCTGATGATCCGACTGGAAAACTAACAGTAGAGAACAGCAGCTTGCTTTGTATGAACCATAGTTTAGTTTCTTTTCTGACGCCTGCAAAGCAACCTCCAATGAACTGCGTCTTATAAATGCCTGCCACTGGTGTCGCGGGGGGCTGCGAAAGATGATATTAACGACTAATTACCTGATTAATACCACCGACATACCAGTTTCCTTTGCAGCCACTGATGAAACATTTTTAACAAACGAGAACTTAACGAGTTATTACCACTCAACTTGGTACAAATTCAGTCGTTCACTTGCAGGTGTTCCAATATAACTGTTCACAGTCTGTAAACTAAATTCTTAACACAATTTTAACTAAGCTCGGATAGCACCGCTACTACGCCAAGCTAACAGGACTTAGCAGCCAGAATTAGCACATCTAGTGATATGGCGGAGGCGATAATGAAATTAACCTACCAGCCTGACACAGCTAGCAGAGCGGTGTTAGCAAGCCATCACAGACGTCACCAAATTTAGCTAGATGCTTACTTCTCAGCCGCCAGCAGCTAATGCTAACTAGCATTGTGTTCATTTTGAGGACGTTATCAAATCTATAGACTACACGTCAGAGAATTGGACAATTTACTGTTATTTCGCTTATCTATAACCAACACATATCTTTGGATCTCCTGGATCCAGCTGGCTGGATGGATTTGTATAAATACAAACTTTCAGAACCGGTTCATGCTGTGCGACGGCCGCCCTGTGGTACGGTACTATGATGGCGTGAACTAACTGGGATATAACACAGATCTGTTCTAAAAGTTGAACTTTAAAACAAATATACACTGATCAATGTATGGTATTATTACAGTCCGAACACAGAAGCAGCTATACTTGGCTACAGCTGTGTGGAAACCAAATCTATGTGAAGTTATTTACGTCTGTCTGTAAGCTAAGTCATACTACATTGTTTCGGCAGATCTGACTGTCTTGATGAAAGCCCGGAGTCGCGCAGCGTACGCTAGCGTTAGCTAGCTGCTAACAGCAGAGACAGCTAGCGGCTAGTTAGCCAGCTCCCAGTAGAAGCGAACAATCACGTTGAAGGGGTGTCTTAAAAATGTAAACCATTCCTTACCTCCCACTCGGTACATGTTGGCCGCCATTCTCTCGTAACCTTTATCAGAAGCAGTCCCAGGGTATTCCCCGCTTGGGTAGAAACAGGTCGATGGGAGTCTATTTTATTCCTTCATTTATCGTCAACACCCCCGCCGCGAAACAAAGCCGGCTCTGGGTACAACAAGAGAGCAGTGGCGGGTAAAAAGTTGAAAGTTTCCGTTGGCGACGCTCCGGCAATTATCTCCAAAAATAGAAGTTTTTATTTTCTCTCTCTGGCGACCTTCCTCTCCTCTTCTTCACTCACTTATTCACATACAGCTAGCCTGTCTCTTACTCCACTCTTCCTCCCATCCTCCGCTCCCAGCTTCATCCTCCTCTTCTTCACCTCCGCTCAGTTCAGCGCGCGCGCACACACACAGACACACACACAGACACACACACACACACACACACACACACACAGCCCCCCCTCCCTCCCTCGTGTACAAATCGTCAACTTCGGATTTTGTCGACAATCACCGACGTCTCACAGTCAACTTGTTCACCGGCGCTGGTTTAGTGACACGGACGGCCTGTTTATGAAAAGTACGACATGCTAAACTTACTTTACTGCTTGTAGCTTACAAAGTGTCTCAAGATGCTTACCGGAAACAAACGCTTATTTACAAGATTTACACACAAACACAGGCTTTAATATCGCAAATTCAGAGAATATACAGACGAGTCAGTGTAATGATGGCAGCAAATATGCCCCAAATAGGTCAAATTCTGAACGGACGGAAGCTGTTAAAAATGAGATACAAGTATAAAACAGTTTAAAAATAGAGTGAAAAAGCACTAATGTATGGGTTTTTCTTGTACGGGCTGCTGGTAGTGCAATAGATGGCAGTGTTGGAGAGCATATCAGTTTACTGAAGTATCACACCTAAAGGCAGTTAATTATTTAATTCATTTTATTCAATTAATTTTATATTTTCCACCTTAAACCATGTACCTTTAACTGCCTCCCAACCGGAGGGCACCGCAGACTTTACTGCTGTCTTCAGTCCTAGGTGTTCTCACCTGAGACCTGTTATTTAGGAAAGCACTCACAGGTTCTGGAGTGGCACTGCCCACTAGTGACACTTCACACACAACACACCTCGGAGTCTTCTCTCATTTATTTGGAGCTGAGCTGATACGACATCACAGTATTGCCGACGTACATTTAAATACATAAAAAAACTGCACTAAAGTAATCATTTTCAAGTGTACTGATCTACTGTTAGACGAATGAATACGAGATGCTGAGTTGATTTTAATGGGACAGGCCTGTCACAGTCTAAGCATATAAAAAGTTGAGATGTTAACCAAACCTTGTTTAAAACATGTATAAAATCACGTGCATGGGCAGTGCAGCACTGTTCTGCACCAGCAAACAAGAACGGTTCTCACCACATACACAACAGAATGACAAGGATTCTGTCTTATGGGAAACATCACACACACTGTCCAGTTTCACAAGGATTTGAAGCATAACATTAACATGGATGTTCCTCCCGAAGAGGATGTTCTGCCTGAAACTAGCAGCAGTGGACAGAACGAGCCCATAACTCACTTCGATGCCTCTGCGGCTGTAAGAAAACAGCCCGCTTTCCCTCACTCTTACAAGCAGCCGTCTCCTTAGCTGGTTGCAGGTTCTGGAGAGCTGGTAGAGGTGGATGAGGCCGAGGCCAGTCTTTCATGGCTGTTACCCACCCCCCCTCCAATCACCTTCCACTGAAGGATGCAAGTGTCCTTCCCGCCAATGGAGAGCAGGTGAGAGTCACTGTGAGTGAAGCAGACGTTGGTGACGTGGCTGCCGTGGCCCTCGTACTTGTGGCTCGGTGCCTGAAGAGAAAAGAAGCAGGTCCACTTCGGATCAGAGCAGAGGAAGGCCCATCATATCCCACTTCCTCCTCCTCCCCCCTCATTGTCTTTCCAGAGTAGGATAAACACCTTTCTACAAGGTTCCTACTGTTAATGCTGAATCTGAATGTCCCACAACTCTAGTGACTCTTAAAACTGGCTGACTTTTACCATTTGATTCTTATTTAAATAAGAAAATAGTTACCTTGAGTTTAGGACAGGGGTACTGGAACAGATGAACCTTACAGAAATCATCAGCCACAGCCACCATCTTCTCGTTGTGAGAGCGACACAGCGCGTTGATGTCTGTGCCGTCAGAGCCTTCCAGCCACACACCTGAACACCACAGTACCACACTCATCAGTCTGATTGCATAAAAGAACCCCATGAAGTGAATGCAATACTAAAGGAGGATAACAGCATTTTGGAGTTTCTCACCCATCACATGGAAGCCTAGCACACAGGTATAAGAGGCCCATTCTCTGTCTTTGCTCTCAAAGCGGTTCCTAAGCAGCTTACATCCTGCTGCTATGTCCCCTGTTAAAACACAGAGTCACTAAGCTGAAGAACGTACTGCATGGCATTCCTATAACAGCACTGAAAGCACAGTGCTGGATGTTCACTTACAGTAAAGGATCTCATAGTCGCCTGAATTTGACATGATGTACTTCCCATCTTTGGACCAGTCCAGGTGAGTGATGAAGCTGGAGTGGCCCTGATCCAACAGATAAGCAGACAGAGTGTCTCACATTAGCTAAAGAAAGCAAGCTTTTATTGTGCATTTCCTTCACCATCAGAAAATTCCACAATAATTAATCTCCGTGTTTGCAAGCTCCATACCACACATTGCATATGAAAGCTTTCCAGGTCATTAAAAGTGAAGTTAATGTTCAAGTGCATTTAAACGGCATTCTTTCTAATGGCTAGCATGAGTATAATAATAACAAATTACAATAGTCCAGCCTAAAAGTAACAAATACATGAACTATTCTTAACAGATGTCAGATAGCATACTGCTAAGATTTTCAGGGCCGAGTACAAAAACCTCAGTTTGATCTGAATTTACAAGCAGAAAGTTAAAGACAAAGACCTGCATGGCCTCTAAGACATTCCTGCAGTTTAATCATTGGTGTGTGTTATCTGGCTTCATGGACAGATAGAGCTGGGTGTCATCTGCATAGCAGTGAAAATGTATGCTATGTCTTCTCATGATGCTGCCTAAGGGAAGCATGTATAATGTAAACAGAATTGGTCCTAGCACTGAACCCTGTGGAACTCCATAATTAACCTCAGTGTGTGAAGAGGACTCTCCATTTACATGCACAAACTGGAGTCTATTAGATAGATATGATACAAACAATTACAAGAGGCGTGTAAGACTGCGACTCTGCTTCCTGGTCCCATCTCTGCATAGTCACATTTTGGGGGGTTTAATAAATTTGTCCAGATTTCTAGAAATGAGAGCTGCTCCATCCAAAGTGGGATGGACGGTCGTCTCGCCTAACAAGACCAGGTTTTCCTGGAAAGCTTCCCAATTATCTATAAAGCCCACGTCGTTTTTTGGACAGCCACTAATTTAAGCATGGGGCTAAACACGTCACTCCTGGTCTGATTGGGAAGGGGACCAGAGAAAACTACAGAGTCCGACATTGCTTTGGCAAAGTTACACACCCATTTAATATTAATGTTGTAACCGGGGACCTTTACTGCCGACATGAACTATAATTTTATGGGATTTGCCCTTTCAGCCAGCAGTTTCACTACAGAGGCCGGTGCTTTTAGCTTCACATGTCTTATAAATGAATCGCTGATAACCAGACTCTGTTTCTCGGTGGGTGTATGGCCAAGTGGGGAAAAACCATTAGAGACATGGACAGGTTTGTAGTGTCCTGGATGCCTCCTCACCATCGCCCAAACATTCTGTGTAGCTGTGTAGCAGACAGAGAATGACCAGCTTCATCTTAGACATCACTTTATACTCCTCTGAATGAAGGATTACAGTCTCAGTAGCTATTAGTCATCTGAATAAGTGACAACAAAGTCTGCACATATCTGTTCCATTCATTTATTTGTAATGTGAATCTGAGTATTTATTAGAGCGTTTTTAGCTTTTTTGTCCGTGGAGTGTTTTTAATCTGAGGGCTTGAACTTGCAGTTTTAGTGAGCACTCGCTCTTCTCTCTGGGAATATTTTCCAGTGCCTGTTGAAATGGTTGCCTGCTCATTTAACTGCACAACAAAACTAGCCGAGGGCATCAATAAAAGAACCTGAACAGGATCACATTCAGGGGTAGGTTAGCTAACAGGAAGTTAGCTGTTCTGACTGGAGAAGTACATCACTGCACCAACCCTCAGCAGCAAGAGTTAACAAAGGTAACGGTCATTCTACGGACCAGTGTGATGTGTAATAATATGTGGACGACAATGGAACTCTGTACACAAGATTTATTGACAAGAAGGAAACTACAGCACCACAGCAGGCTCATATTGGATGGAGATGTGCTGCGCTGTTAACCAAGAAGAAAAAACCCAAGTGAAATAAAATAATTTAAAGTTTAACTCACGTTACATTTTCCAAAGCGGGTGTAACGCCTGCCACTCTCTGTCACACTGTAGATGTAGATGAAGTTGTCATGTGATCCTACAGCTAGGAAGCTGCCATCTGAAAAACAGACTCACAGAGTCAAAGAGGATCCCCACTCTGAAACTTTGCTACATCCCACCCTGTGAACAACAGTTTTAAGCTTTAACTCAAAGTTTGCTGCATGTTTTTTGTGTGAAGAAGGTCATTAATGCCAAATCCATGACCACATGGTTGGATGTGAGCACCACCCTAATCTGTCACATCTACAGTTAATATAGGAGGAGGAGTTACTGACTGACCTGGTGAATATCTCATGACAGACAGCTGCTCATTCCCGTCAGTGGATTCAGAAACGACCTCCCTGGTCAGCAGGTCAAGGACCATCCACCTGTCGGTGTTACAGGGGGTGGAGGAGGAGACAGGTGGAGAGTCAGAGAAAAGAACAGACTGGAATGCTCACGGCTAAATTCTCCATCTTTTCTTCTTCTTTTGCTGTACAGGAAGCCACAGATCAATTCTTTCTTTTAGTTTGTAGCAAAAGTTTCGTTATGTGTTGTTTGTGCCTTTATATTTCTGCGGGTTTGTCGTATGATTAATAAAGAAGTGTATCCATACTGATGCAGTCCCGATCAAAGGTTTAAGATCACTTGAAAAAATGGTTAAAAAAAACAAACATATTTTGCACAGTTGGATCTAAACAAGTTCCCAAGTCGAGCTTCAACATGCAACGAAGCGATCTACTGTCTGGGACTGTCGTCCATTTCTGGAAACTTCCCTTACTATCCATCCCCAAAGGCTCTCAACTGGACTTAGATCAGAGCACATGCAGGACGGTCCAAAAGAGTGATGTTATTCTCCTGGAAGAGGTCCCTTGTCCTTCATGGCGTTGTGTACTGTAGCGCTGTCCTGTTCAAACACCCAGTCGTTACCACCCGTTACCACCCCACTCAGTAATGAGGACGCTCTCTGCAACATCTGGACAGAGCCAGCAGCTGTTTGACGCCCCTGCACCTCCTGAAGCTCCGTTGTTCCACTGAAGGAAAAAGCACCTCAGACCATTATGGCGCCCCCTCCACTGTGGCGCGTAGATAGCATCTCCGTCGGGATCTGCTTGTCATGCTGGTAACGTTGGAAACCATCAGGACCATCAAGGTTACATTTTTGTTCTCATCAGAGAATTCTTCCACCTTTCAATGTCCCATGCTTGGCGCTCTCTTGCAAAGTCCAAACAGTCGCTGTGGCGTCTGATGGTTACGGGCTGCAGTCGGCACCAGTAACGCCCTTAATTTGGGTCGAGGATCGTCCAGTGTTTTGATGGACAGCCAACTGGATCCTCCGGCTCAGTGCTGGTGGCGTTTCTTGGGGTCTTCCATTTGACTTTTTTCTTCCATAACCCTCAGGATCATTTAAGAAATTCCACCTATCTGTGTCCGACCTCAGCAGTGATGGCGCTCTGCTTATGCAGTTCAACAACCCGACTACGTTCAAAACACGAACGTCTTTTTGCCTTTGCCATCAGAACATCCTGACAGTGTGACAGAAAATGAGAATGAATCCACACTTCTGCACAGATTTGGCCTTTTAAAGGCACGTGGTCCTAAACCTTTGATCAGCTGTAAAACAGCCTGTCTCACTTTAAGCGCTGTTTTCAGTAAACTGCACGCTCAGCAAAATGTTTTGTCTCACTCTCGTTTCTTCTTGTTGCATGTTGAAGCTCTACGTGGAACCTTGTTAAGATCCAAACATGCAAAATGTGATTTTTTTTGCCATTTTTCAAGTGGTCTCAAACTTTTGATCGGGACTGTATTCTAATAAATATTTGTAATGAAGAATTAGGGAAACGGATAAATGATTACCTATTAATCCATATCCTCATTAACTTACTAACCATTTTCAACATTGCTGTACAATCACTCCACACACTGGGCACCACAACATTAAAGAGCCACAGAGTGTTGATGGGGCACAGTCCAGCTGTCCGGCTGTAGAGTCGATGAAGACCGGGCTTCTTTGACGGTGCTTTGAGGGGAGTCGTTGGATTGTCATGAAGCATAACGAGGAAATCAAGTTTATGGTTTATGAAATATAAAACACTGATCTCTCCTCTGTTGTTTCAAACTGATTTTCTCTGTCGAAGATGTGTTTTAGATCGACTGCAGTGTTGGTGATAAACAAATGCTTTTAAGTCCAGTTTGGTATCCAGAAAAATGTATTCCATCTCTTTTTTTAAATGTTTTTCTTGATAACAAAGACGGATCCAGTCAACTAAAATGATCAGATGCTGATTTGTTTCCAGCAACTGGGTTCAGCCATGTGCAGCCTCCCCTCACTGCCATGCGTCATGATCAACAGTATGCAAAACAGCAATCACCCAGCTTTATACCAGCTGCTTTGGTAGTGACAATCAACAACTGTGCAGCTTCACGAAACTTTTAGCATGCTTTATGGTCATCATTCGCCAGTATACGCCTTGCTTTCACAGTCATAATCAATACAGGTGGTGGAACTCTTTATGTTAATAGAGGCTGCCAACGACTTCTGCCCTGTACCAAACACAAAGACACCAAGCTTCTCTCCTTACTTTTGTTTTTTGGTCATTTTGCCTCTGTAGACCAATCATTGGATATTACATGAAACAATCAAGATGTGACTGAATTGCAAACTGCCAGGTGAGCTTGTTCCCATTATTTCAAATTAAATGGATAAAGATGTGGAGTTGGATCCAAGACTTAAACTGTGGTAGAGGCACTCTCAGTGTCAGGCCCCAAAACACAAATGGTAAATGGCCTGTATTTGTATAGCGCTTTTACTAGTCCCCCCAAAGTGCTTTACACACCCAGTCATCCACCCATTCACACACACATTCACACACTAGTGGAGGCAAGCTACAGTAGCCACAGCTGCCCTGAGGCAGACTGACAGAAACGAGGCTGCCATATCGCACCATCGGCCAGGTGAAGTGTCTCGCCCAAGGACACAACGACCGAGACTGTCCGAGCCGGGGCTCAAACCGGCAACCTTCCGATTACAAGACGAACACCCAACTCTTGAGCCACGATCGCCCCCACACACAAGTTGATCAAAGAAAACCCCTTTATAACACTGAAGAATGCAGGTGTATTACTGTCAAAATCTACAATCAAGAGATGCTTTTATGATCTGAAATACAGAGTTTACAACAAGGTGCAACCCACTGGTTGAACCTAAGAACACCGAGACCAGAGTAGATTTTCCCAGACAACATCTAAAAGAGTCGACGCAGCTCTGGAACAAAACTGTTTGGACAGATGAATCCAAAATAAAGTTGTGACAGAATAAAAAATCATCCAGGCGAGTAAATCCCAAACGGTTGATTCTGTTCATCTGGATGTTTTCAGTGGGAGAAACGTTTCGTCACTCATCCAGGTGACTTCTTCAGTCTCAGCTGACTGCAGGTTTCCAATCTTATAAACAGGACATTTGCACAATGACTGAAACCAGCACCACTGAATGAACAATGGGCTGGGAGGTCAGTTGTCATGACCGTTGATCAGTGGCCGTGAGTCCCATTCACAGAGAGTTGGGGAATGGCTGCAATCACAGCATGTAAGATGGTGACAGACTTAGAGTTAAAGACAAAGAAACTTGTTTCTTCAACAGTCAATCACCTGATGTAACCCAACAAAACAGGCTTTTTATTTAATGAAGAGCAACAAACGGCAGTAATACTTCTGTTAAACCCCCTAAATTAAAGCTGGAAGTCTGCATTTCAATCACATCTTCACTGTTTTGATTTTAAATCCATTGTGGTGAAAATTCTCCAAAAAGTTTCAATATCTAAAGCTTGTGGGTGTAAGAGTACACTGAAATGTTTGCTGAGTTTATTTGATTTTTCAGCGTTTAGCTCAGATATACAACTGCTGCTGCCTTGACTTACCGTCCTGTACTCAGGCCGACTGACACCACCGATCCATTGGGGCAAAAACCAGCACACAGGCCGTACTCCTGCCAGAGACACAGGAAAGAATTCAGAATTATGGAGTAAACTTCCCTGTAAAAGATCTCGAATAGAAATGAACAAAGCGCTCAAAGAATGAAGGTTGGAACTCAGGAATCTCACCTCGAGGGTGATGCACCAGTCCAGCTTGTGTTCCTCGGTGTTCCACAAACACACCTGCCTGTCATGGCCACAGGTGAGGAAGATGTTCTGGGAGGGGTGAGTGGCCAGCCCCCACATCTCATCTACATGGCCCTGTGAAACACACACAGACACACAAAGGAATACAAATGAAAGCAATAAGTGTACAGGTGTTGCAGTTTAACAGCATATTTGAGTGCATTTTAAAATTCCATTATTTATCTAATAATGAATTTTAATCCATTATTAGAGGCCAGAAGAGGACTCGAATAATGGATTAGAGGCCTACTAGGGACAATACTACTAACACAGTAAAACGGTTTCTCAGCATTATTGACGGGTCTTTGCCCTACCTTACAATATAAAGTGCCTTGAGGTAACTGTTGTTGTGATTTGGCGCACCATATTAAAAATACATAAATAGAAATGCCCTAAAACATTTAAATGTCTGACCTCTGAGAGCAGTTTCTCGGTACAGACCTGATATCTGATGCACAGCTTCTCATATACACGACAATAGCTGAACGTGCACACACATTAATGCTTGAACATGGTTTCACATATATACACATATATCTTCTGAAAGGACACAGACATGTCTTTAATTTTTTCAGTGTGTTTAAAATTGTGAAACTTCCGTCATCTGAATGCTCGACACGTGTGAGGTGAAGCAGAAGCAGTAACAGATGTTGGGTTAGCTTCAACATTGATCAGCTGTCATACATGCCCTGGCTATGGGGAGAGGTGAGGGCTGGTTAAATGCAGGGAGAAGTAGATGAACCACGATGTCCCAGGAGCCTGACATCAAGAGCCAGAGAGGTAGAAGAGCACCAGCTGCTAGCGTTATGGGCAATTGTGGCCAATGCCCCAAAATAAGCCAATTCAATAACCCAGAAGGCGCTCGTCTCTCCACTTCACCCTTCACATGGAAAGCAGCAGCAAAGGCCTGGGCCAACAGCCACTTCAGCTCAGGGACTGTCATAAAACTGCATTTGCTGCAGTGAAGTGGTGTCTGTGACACCATTACAGAGCTGCAGCAGTTTTCAGTTAACCAGCTTTTCACAACAATTCAGCTCAGGCAGTCAGTAACTGATGCTCATCAGCACTGCTGAGAATACAAACAAAGAAGAAGAAGAGTTATCTGTGCTTCCATCCAAGCAAAGCTGAAGTAAAAAGACATCAAACAATATCAGTTTGATATTAGACACCGCAGCTCCTTGGTTAAAACTAACCAACTACTAACCAAGGTCGCTTTTCAGAATACAACGATACTAAAGTGAGATTACATGTGACCCAACACCTGACCAATCTATGTGTCGTATGCCTGCTGCTGTGTTACACGTGCTGCAGACAGGCTGCTCTGCAGGACAAACCTCTAATGACGTCATTTTCCTAACTATTCCGATTGCTTAACTGTGCATCAGGTGATAGTAGCAAATACATCCAGTCTGTGAAAGACTTGGAAGATGCTTATATTAAATGTTTAAGCTGTCTATAAATCATATATCAGACAAAAGTATAAAATGCACGTTTTATCTTTTGGTACTAAAATTCTCAGCAAGCATCTACAGACCTGACAGCACTGATGCCTGTGAGGTCGTTAGCTTACCTGCACTATGGCCACAAAGCCGTCTGAGAAGGTTCCTCTGAGGATGGCATTTCGAGTCGTACCAACTAACAGTTCCTCTTCGTCCATGGCTGCGATAGTGCGGACCGCCCCGAACTTTTCTGGAATCTGAACAAATGCCTTAATGAGTCTCTCCACCAGCTGTGACACACACACACACACACACACACACAGCTGTAGTTCACCTCACACTCTCTTTCAGGTGCCAAATCAGCGCTCCAGCGGATTATTTTACGGTCCTTCCCTCCTCCACTGAGCAGGCCTCCGCCCTGTAGAGTGCACAGGGTGAACACGCTGCCTTCGTGTGCTTTGGTCTGTCGCATGATCTGGTAGGTTTCTGTGGGAAGTCACGACACCAAAAATTCATTTAACCTGTAAAATCTGGTGTGAAAAGTGTTTGCCCCCTTCCTGATCTCCTATTTTTTGTATGTTTGTCACACTTGAAAGTTTCAGATCATCAAACACACTTAAATATTAGACAAAGATAACAGAAGTTGTCGTGATGTTTGGGAGCCATCGTATGAAAAAAATGAGGTTCTTCATAGAGCATGGCAGAGGGAGGAGGTGTTTTATGAAGAGTTTCGTGGACCACGACTGTCCTACTGTGGTCCTCAGGAGACGCAACGAATACAGGGAGGCAAAGATACTTTGAGAGAACGCATCAAGTTTCAAACCCCCGATCCTGCGGGTTTTTTCTGACAACAGCACTCGCCTATACAAGGCGAAGCAACAAGAGATGTGGCGACTGCCTGTCACTGTGCTCAAACCTACAGCAGCCCAGAACATGAAGTGATCCAGTTGCTGTCTGCCGGAGCGGCATCCGCTTCAGGTGTTCAGGAGAGACAGTGACGCCTGAAGATCTGGGATTGTTTTACAAATCTGATATTTGGGTAAGAGTGGCTATATTCTTCTCATGGTTATGGAGAGTAATTAACGTGGTTTCTTCCTTTTCTCTTCATAATAATCATTTTTTATAACTCTTGAGTTGAGACGTCAGACAGAAACATGTTAGTGTGGGGACATTTATTGAGGCGCTCCCTCAGCAAGGAGGGGGAGATGTACCCCTGTTGGGACCTGGTCAACACAAGGTCATGCTTCAGAGGGATCGCCACAGATTAACCTGTGACCTGTCCGATCACACTCCTGTTTTTGTACAATACATATAAGAGACGATCCACGAAACCGTCTCCACTCTGGAGACTTAATACGGCGCCTTAAACAACCCTCAGTTTATGGTTCTGATGAGGGACGATAGGGATGATAAATTTGTTGCATACACAGGAAATCGAGAAGACCTTTGTCTTTGCAAAACAAAAACATTATGAAGCTAGCCCAAAGCAGAAAAATCAGAGGAGCAGAGTAGACAAAATTAAGAAGGACCCAGATGTGGAACTGTTGTGTATAAAGAAGGAATTACAAAAATCATTCCAGAAGTTTTGTAAAAAACTTGTACACACTCCCAAAAGCCCATTCATGATCAGCTGAAGGCTTTTCAGGGAGTTTTTAGGACATCCTGATAATAATGAATTACAGTAGTCCAGCCTGGAAGTAATAAATGCATGAACTAGTTTTTCAGCGTCACTCTGAGACAGGATATTTCTAATTTTAGAGATGTTGCACAAATGGAAGAACGCAGTCTTACATATTTGTTTAATATGTGCGTTGAAGGACATGTCCTGGTCAAAAATGACTCCAAGGTTCCTCACAGTGTTACTGGAGGCCAAGGTAATGCCATCCAGAGTAAGAATCTGGTTAGATACCATATTTCTAAGATTTTCAGGGCCGAGTACAATAACCTCAGTTTGATCTGAATTAAGAAGCAGAAAGTTAGCGGCCATCCAGGTCTTTATGTCTTTAAGACATTCCTGCAGTTTAACTAATTGGTGTGTGTTATCTGGCTTCATGGACAGATAGAGCTGGGTGTCATCTGCATAGCAGTGTAAATGTATGCTATGTCTTCTAATGATGCTGCCTAAGGGAAGCATGTATAATGTAAACAGAATTGGTCCTAGCACTGAACCCTGTGGAACTCCATAATTAACCTCAGTGTGTGAAGAGGACTCTCCATTTACATGCACAAACTGGAGTCTATTAGATAGATATGATACAAACCACTGCAGTGCAGTACCTGTAATACCTACAGCATGTTCTAATCGCTCTAATAGGATATTATGGTCGACAGTATTTATAACTTTTCCAGACAGAGATCTCAATTCCTTTGTTTTTCATTTGTTCCTGAATGTGGATCGCAGCGTGATGTCTGGATTTTGTTTGGCAGGTCCTATTTAACTGATTTCTTGGTTGTGAACAGCTGGAATCAGGCTGATGTGTGGCTAGAGAGACTGAACTTTGCTTTCCAAACATTATACTCTTAAGTTATAAAAGGAGGGGTGCAATCTCTGTTCACACAGGGTCAATTAGGTTTGGTTTTTTCTACCTGATAAAAACAGCTTCATTTATAAACTGCACTTTGTGTTGACTTGTGTTATCTTTGCCTAATATTTACATTCGTTTGATTATCTGAAACATTTAAGTGACACAATCATACAAAAATATAGGAAATCAGGAAGGAGGCACTTTTCACACCGCTATACTTTATCATTTAAATCTCTGAGTTCTTAAAGCTTCTGATCAGCTAACACATCATTTCAGTCACACGATTCCAGATGTAAGCCAACATCTCAACTTGTCACCTCTTACTCGCCAAAACTAGGAACAATTTCCAAACACCACATTTACATGTTCAAACAAAACTCCATCTATCGCCTAATCTTTAAACCCTTTTTATTTCAGAGATTCAGTATAAGGGGTTTTTCTTCAGCACCAAGTGTTCCAGTCTGGTTTCAAAGCATTTCACAGAACAGAATCTTTAGGGAGTTTTAAATAATATTTTAATATCTACTGACTCTGGGGATTCTATTATTTTAATGCTTTTTGATCTTACAGCAGCCTTTGACACAGTCGATCACAGTATTCTTATTTGTCACCCCGAGCACTGTGTGGGGATGAGAGGCGCGGCGCTTCAGATCACACGTGTCCGAGGATATTTTCAGTTTTCAGGCCCCTCTTCTGTGGAACCAGCTTCCAGTTTGGATTCAGGAGACAGACACTATCTCTACTTTCAAGATTAGGCTTCAAACTTTCCTTTTCGCTGAAGCATATAGACCCTACGTTTGATGTGCAGCACTTTGGTGAACTTTGTAGTTTTAAATGTGCAGTATAAATAAAAGCTTCACCTGTGACTGATTTGCTTGGGAGACCAAACCAATTATCCCTGACAATACAGCTCCTGGAGTCACTCAGGTGTGTAAAACCACCCACTGGATCATCACTTCTTCATCTTTCTGCCAAGTTTCTATTTATTTTATTTGAAATCTCGTTTGTTGCCAGCACATGTGAGAGCGACGTGTCTCCACAGAGATGATATTTATACTGACATTTTATTCTCTAGGCTTTGAACTGACACACAGCACCAACCTTTGGCTCCTTTCCCGAGAGTTTTGATATCTGCAGCAGATTTTCCCCAAGTCATGATGTTCCCCTCAGAGTCTCCGGTGAGAACATCTCCAGTCAGGCTGAACACAAAGCACTGGATGAACTTGGGCTTCTTGTATTTCTGAAAATAATAAACAATTATTTGATCTTTTATATTAACTGTGCTAATAACTGATCGTTTACATGTTTCCACCCATTTTTTTGGACATGTTGAATTTTCAGTTCTTTTTGCTGAGCTTCTTCCTCTTTTGGCCTCTACAGAAAGATGCTGCTAACTCCATTTTCCACTGCTTCCTTGCACTAGCGCACGTTAACTGAGTTTAATGTCAGAAATGTCAGTCAGGACGAACACGACTGAAGTTAATCTTACTCCAAAGATGCCTTGCTTTTTCGTGAGCTGTCCTCCACTCAGCGTCCAAAAGTAGACGTGGGATTTTCCACAGGTGATGATGTTGGTGCTGTCCCGAGGGTTAAACTCTACAGCAAACACGGCCTCGTTGGTAGTCTGAACACACAACAGCATCAGAAGGGTTAGTGCTGGTACATCAGTCGTACTTCAGCTCCACTCACAAAGTAATTTAAGGCTCTTGAATCAGATACATAAACAACAACTTTGGGCTGTGAAAGAAAAGAAAGATTTATTTTGCTTGAATCTTTTTTTTCTTAATCTTGAAAGTGAGCAGGTGACCAGCGCGACACACTAGAAGTCCCATTAACAAATGCTCATGAGCTGCTACTGGAGCCCTGCTGTCAGACTGATGGACGTGGAACAACAAGCTGGCGGTCCTCTACTTTCCCAAGACGCTTTGTTGCCCAGTCTATGAAAGCAGATAAGTGAGAAGTTCTGAATCAACTCAGGAAGTCACATTTTTGCTGATTAGAAAGATGGGATCCAGCTCAGAGCTATACTGTAGCACTGTAAACACTGGTAATGTCGCCAGCACAATGTTGCACGTTGTTGTGAAACTGTCACACGGTTGTGTGGTACTGCCTTCACTTGTGTTTCATGCATAGAGCAAACTACCACATTAAGTGTTTTAAAGAATATAAACAGAGTTTTGCATTTTGGGCCACATAAACCGACTTTCTGACCACTTGTGAATCCTATGTTGACACGGTGTTTTCACCATGCATGCAGCCTGCTACGTGCCACAGAAGATCCTGGGAGCTCTTAAACGAGCCCATTCAATTCTTCTCCTGAGGTGACAAACAAGTTCAAACACCATCCTATGCAGTATTTGCACTGAGCCCACGTATGAAACATTTACACTGCTGCCATGACAGACGTGCTGAAACTGGTCCCGGGGAAGTTGAGGCATTTTGGGATTAAAGCCCATAACAGCAGAGGGGAGACGTGGCTGCCAACGCCCCGCCCCCCACAATCTCCAGAGAAAAAGGACCTACAGTACCCGAGTACCTGTCACTGCGTTACAGGATGAAGCGCTGATGACTTCATGAGAGACACTTTCATGCCATCAAACACATATTTATAAATATTACACAAAGATAACTGTAAGAGAACAAAATCTGTCTACACCTACATAAATAATTGCCCCTTCACTTAATAACTACAACCAAGTGTTTGCAGCAACTGCCAGTGAGTCTTTTCATTACTCCTCTTTTCCAAACTGTTTGACTTCAGCCACACTTGAGGGCTGGTGAGCTATGATAACATAGGCTGCAGGCTCAATTTGTCTTTAATGTACGACACTCAAACTAAATAACCTGCTGTTATTCTAACATCTGAGTGCCGTCAAAGATTAACATCAGTATGTCTACTGAATGGATTCAGTGGTTAAAGCAATAACAAACTCATTAGGACCTGACGTTGACCGTCTTCCCGTTACCTTGATCTCTGCATGCTTGGTGCCCTTCGTGCAATCCCACAGTGACAGCATGTGGTCATTAGAGTCATCAATGACACACAGAAATGATCCAGCGTCCTAAAACACACCACCAGAAAAAAGAAAGCAGAATTACATAATATCTTTACGTCAGTTCAATTCAGTTTTATTTACACAGCAACATATAACAACAGTCGCCTCAAGGTGCTTTATACTGTAAAGTAGACCCTACAAAAATGCATACAGAGAAAAACCCAACAATCATATGACCCCCTATGAGCAGCACTTTGGCGACAGTGGGAAGGAAAAACTCCCTTTTAACAGGAAGAAACCTCCGACAGAACCAGGCTCAGGGAGGGGCGGGGCCAAAATCATGCTGAATCTAAGGCAAATAAATCTACTTGCTCTTGTTAAAGTGAATGGAAACACATGAAGTTCCAGGATGCAATCAACTCACAGCAAATGAAAATGCCACTGATCCCACTCCCCTCTGGAAGGTCCCCGGTCCGATCTGCTGCAGGGTGACCAGCGTGGTGGAGTCCCAAATATAAACACACAGCTGCAGAGGCTGCCGCAGACACAGAAACATCACTTACTCGTTTGTTGCCACTCGCTGCAAAGTTAACCAAGCTGAATGTTTCCGCACATCTCAATTCCTGATATCATTTAAAAGTTCGATCATCTTTTAACTTGTGACGCTCAAACTATGGATGCAAACTGTGTTATTTTAAGGGCAGCAATAGTCACCTTGCCATCTTTATCCACCCCTGCTGTCTGGCCAGATGCCACTCGCACTTTGTCAGGATGGAGTGTGAGACTGCAGAGAAAGACATTTTCTGTGTAAAGCTTTTGCAAGTTTGCTGCACAGAAACATGAGGGTGGTGGGTTGCATCCATCATGGCAAAATGACAAACATGTGCTTACGGTCAAATAAACAGTGCCGTCTGTGTTTGGTCACAGAGGTTTATTTGGCTGCAGCACGATGAGAATGACTCAAAGGTTAAATGCTGTCTTTTTGGCACAAATAGCATCCAGTGAACAACTTTGGCCTGTCTATACTCTGTTTTTGAAGAGAAGCTCTCCTGATATTTAGACTGTAGTATTGATATTTTAACCTTGTCAAGAAACAGACATTTGCAGCTGTGAACAGTTTTAATGGTAAATAGCTGATACGATCTTCAAATATGATGCATGGATGCACAATTTGAACATGGACTTTGTGGCAAAAGACAAATGAAACATTTTTGTCACATGGACCTACGTGATACTTGCAGACCCTTCGGCTACTGTTTCTGCCAGCTGGTCTCTGCTTCACATGCTACCATACTTGTTTCCCATTTTAACTTGGCTCTTAAAAGAACTCTCAAAATCACATATTTTGGTGCAGTGTTGTGGCTGGATAGGTCAGCTGCCATGCAGTAACACGCCAGCACGCTTATCCCCTCCAAAATCTGCAGCGCAAATACTTTGACTCAAGTGATAATCCAAGGAATGGAGTTGAGTTCAGAAGCAGGTTAAAGCAGACAGTAGCTTCCCTCTTGTTCCCGATACACACAAGTGTTTTTCTGTTACCAAGTCACGCAGACCTCTGTCCACAAATATCTGCAATCAGTCTAGTCTCGCACTAATCAAAACAGTCACCTCTATGTGTTTTATATTGCAAAGTAGAAACCCCAAAATAAAGGAGAGAAAACCCCAACAATCAAACGGCGAGTACGAGTAAGCATTTGGCGACAGTGAGAAGAAAAAACTAACTTTGAACAGGAAGAAACTTCCAGCAAAACCAGGCTTCCTCTGGTTGGGGGGAGGGGTTGGAGTGGTGTGTAAACACACAGTGAGCGATAAACAAACACTGTGCATCATGGGAAGCTCCCAGCAGCCTTTTGTTCTAACTATATACGTTCTCAAAACAGAAAGTTTTAAGGCCACAGCCATCAGGGAATACCGAACCATGCCTTGGTAGGTGGTACGTGTCAAAGTAACATCCACATGGATGCCAGGACTCACGGTCAAGTTCTGATGCTCATGTGCCCATTAGCACTTTCAGCATTGGGACCCTTAACTGTATGCAGTTGTACACAACTAGCATTAACCTTTTCGGCAATGTGAAGTTACAGTAGTTCGTCTGTTGGATCGGACCACGCGGGCCGGCCTTCGCGCCCCACGTGCATCAGTGAGCCTGTCGCTGTTTCACTATCGTTCCTTCCTTGCACCGCTTTTGATAGATACTGACCACCGTGGACCAGGAGTAGGGATGGGTATCGTTTAGGTTTTATCCGATACCGGTGCCAAATCGGTACTTTTGAAACGGTGCCGGTGCTCAAACGGTGCTCAAACCGGTGCTTAAAGAATGGAGAACACAAACTTTGTCCAAAAAC